CTGGACAAAACCTACCTTGCAGCACTTTCTGTTAGTTACACGTTGCAAAGGATTGATGTAATGCCCTTTGTACTAGTGCGTAAGTTCTCAAACATCTGCTGTTTTGGACAGCTTGAGAAAGCTTTTCTGCCTTGCAGGGATGAGCTGATTTTGGTCCCCCATGTGCATGTTAGGCATCAGAGAAGCTTTTTTCTTCTTAAAAGATATTCTTCAGCGGTGAGGCACAGCTTGGCTGTTATAAACCTGCTTCAAGGCAAGGTTGCTTTCTTGGCAAAGGTGGGTTTTTCTCCATTGAGAAATCATGCCTACTCTCTTTGAAATGAGAGAATCAACAAAAAAATCACTTTTTACTGGTAGGTTTGGCTTAAAATCCATTTCTGCCTTCAGAATTTTTTTTTCCTCACCTATATTGACATAATACCACTACTGATAAGATCTTACTATGTGGGGGATAAAAGCTATCACTTTTGAATATGTAAGTACATTGTTCTTGCTCTTTACTAAACTGTTATCTCCTCCGTTATTGTTTCTAGATCAACCGGAGAGGAATGCCGCCCAAGGGTGGCGGAGAGATACTGTTTTCCTGCCCAGTGAAGAAAGTCTTGCAGCCCATTCAGTTTACAGACCCTGGCAAAATCAAGCGCATCAGAGGAACTGCGTATCTTTTTTTTTGTTTGTTGTTTGACACTTACTAAAGGGGGCTGAAGGGAACGTTGCATAGACATTGCGTGAAGGATCACGCAGACGATTAGATCTCAGCTTTGTGTCTCAAAGACACTGTGTTCAGAGCAGTGCTGCGCTCTACGCTGAGTAGTGGCATCGTGGCTGTTAGTGATTGTGGCTGGGTGTTGGATGGGTACTTTAAACTGAGTTCCATTTACACCTCACTGCACACGCGAATGGAGTTGTTTATTGTGTTAGGAAAAACAGTTCATTATCCCTTTAGCCTTCGGTAGCACCACTGGAGATGGAAGTAGGGGAGGATGTTTTTCCCTCACAAAGAAAAGGGCACAAAATACTGTTACGGAGTACTGACTTTTGCAAAGAGAATTTCACATGTAGTTAATGTTTCTTCTTTCTTTCTCTCTTGCTGTCTCTGTACTGTATCTTTCATTAATCTGCTGTCCCCACAGGAAGAAGGCAGAAATCCCTCACAGGCAAGGAATGCTAAAGGTTGCGTTTCATGAACTCCTGTTCTCTCTTGGGCATTGGCTAACGCGTGGTCCAGTTTGCGATACCAGTTAAAAAGAAAGGAGGAAGGGGGGCGGTTTGCCTGCAGAAGTGCGGGCTTGCAGCCTAGCCCGCCATTTATCTTATGATGTGCTCTTGTAATTGTGCGAATGGGATGCTTTGAACTCAGTTTCCAGCTGGAGCATTTGGATGAGTGAACCATTCCTGTGTGAGAGCAGTTTTATTAGGTGCACGTGCTGTAGAGTAACAAAGGAGGCAGCTCAGTGTACTTGCAGTGGTGCTTGTCATGGTCTTTCCGAGGAGAAGGTCACTTATGCCCCTGTCATCTCTCTCATAAATAGTTCTAGCCTCTTTTTTTGTGTGAAGAGGAAGGTGATGATCGTGGTTTTGATGCCATCTTTCTAACTTGCCGTTGGCACACAGCACCATACCTGAGCCACTTTCACTGGATTTGGTCTGTGCGTGTGTGTGAACCGCACAGTTTTTGAGCTTCCTCCTTCCTTTATTTTTTCCTAAGGTTGTTCTCAGGACTAAAGGTTTACCTTTGGTAAGGTGAGAGGCAGTCTCGTTTCAGTTTGGTCATGAAGTGGTTCTCCAAGCAGGAGAAAACAAAACGCCTGGGAGCGTAAGTGCTTGGCTGTTTGATAGATGCTCCCTCCCCCCTAACCCCAACAGGCAGCTGAGCAGCTCTGTTTTCCTGCACCTGGGGAGACTGTGTTGTAGTAACGTTTTGTACTCATCCAAAATATTTAGTGTACCCACATAAAATGGGCAGAATGGTTGGTTTTCTGATTGTTATTTAGTGTATTTTGCCTTTAAGAGCTTACAAGTTTTTGGTGTACCTATTGCACAAGAGCGTGCAGTAGAAGTTGTTCAGAAAGGACTTTCCCTTCAGCCAGCTGGTAGGTTTGAGAGTAATGAGTTTCTCTAGCTTGCCATGTGCATATAGGTGCAGATGGGTGGGTAACTGTGCAGTTACCCGCCCATTAGTTGGGATGGAATTTGGAGCAAAAGTGTGCCGCATGCATTTCAAGATACATTGGGAATGTTACTGAAAAATAACCCCCAAAAAAGTGTCCGGAGTAAGTTCATCTTTTATATAGTGTCTGGAAGTTGTGGGGAGAGGGAGGCATACACAGAAGGTGGTTACATCTTCCTCCTCCCCAGAACTATTATCCTCAGAGCCTGACTTGATTAGAGAACCAGTGAACTGTTAGCGTCATAGCAATATCAGATAGTTAGAGCAGAGATTTTTTTTTAGCCTCTTTTAATTAATTTTTTATTTTGTTAAAGCACTTGCCTTTAATTTCAGCTACCTAATTTCTACATCATGAAAATAGAAAGACAGGATTTCTTGCTGCTAATTCAGGAGAAACTCACCCATCGCTGTTTTTTAGTACTATAGGAAGAGCAGAGCATGCAGGACTTTCTGCATCATAAGAAAGTGAAGGATGATAGAACAGCAACTGAAAGTAATCAAAGGACATTTTTAAGACAGGTGTTTACCTAGTTATGATAAGATGTCTGCACATGATCTGTGTACCGCACCTCAAGATTTACCAGAGAAAAGATTGTAGAAAATACTGAGCGCATGTACTTTTTTTAAGTATAGGCTGGGGTTAGCAGGTGGGTCAACATTTACGGACAGGCGTCCAGGGCAAAGCCACATTATCTGAAATAATGCATTGGGACCTCTTGGCCGCTTTGGTCATCATCTGGTTTAAATTTCTCTGTGATACAATGAGTTCCTTAGCTCAGAAGTGTAGATATTCTGTCAGAGTGTCACCACAGATGGCAAACAGAATGGTGGAATCTGCAAGGAGCATCCTGAATAAGTTCCTCCCGGACATTTATATCTACACAGATCATATGAAGGGGGTCAACTCTGGAAAGTGAGTATCCAGCTTTCACGGTCAACAGAAATACAATTCTGCATCTCTTTGTCTGCCAGTGTATTCTGATCTGCTATTGCATTGAGCTTCTGCAAGAACAGAAGTTGTGTGTTAAGCAAGGAATCGTGTATCATTATTGTCACTAAAGGGAAACCTGAACTTTCTTCGGCCTTAAAGCTGTTTTAAAGTGAGAGTAAGATCAGAGGTGCCATGGCGTGGTGTGAAAACTGATGTTGGAATCTGATTGTAGACCTCTTCATGGAAATGGTAGCATTCAGGATGGGACCAAACTGTTTTATGAAGTGTTTGAGCCGTGTTGGCTGTCCTGTTCTTTACCGTAATATGAACAGTTGAACAGTGTCCTTTTGCTGGCAAGGAGTAGAACCCCAGTTAGATGACAGTTATTTGATGCATGAACTTACAGTACTTCCACAGATCTTCTTTGTTTAAAGAATACACAAGTGATGCATGTAATTCAGACGGTTTTACTTACTGACTTTTGTTGTCCTCTTGTCACTTATAGGTTGGTCGCTTGAGGTTGGAGAACATCTTGATAACTGACTTGTTTGTCTTCTTTCCATGTGCTCAAATCCAAGCATGCACACTTTTTGTTCCCTGTTTTTTTGTTTTGTCTGTTTGGTGTTTTTTTGCTTTTAGGTTTTTTTTTGTAATAGCTTGGTGTGTAACTGCTAGTGCCTAAGGAAGGATCTCGACTGGAAAACAGACTAAAACGCCATGGGGCACAAGTGAACACAGGAGAACAAGTGATAACCTGTTAGTTCTTTCTTAAAAGGATTCAAAAGAAAACATATATTTTTTTAAACTCTAATGCCTGTTTGATGCTATGCAAATGACCTCACATGCTTGGATCTTACCATATTCTTCACTGAAGCTTGTAAACGACAAATAGCGTCGTCGTGGCAATATACTGCAGTGTAATCCTTGTCTGTAAAGTCTTCCGGGCTCTTTGTCTAAAGACTTGGATATTAGGAAAAAGGTTATTACCTATGGGCTGTTGATGTGTTAGAGCGGGTTTTCAGGAAGACTGTCCGTCTCTGGAAACTTCTAAGAGCTGGTTAACCAAAAGTAGATACGGTTGTCCTGCTGTATAACAGGGAACTGAGGCTACAGCAGGCATTGAAATGTAGAGGTGAATCAGCTGTGTGACTAGGAAAGATTCGCTCGGTAGATGGCATATCAACATGTGGTTTTGTTTGCTGTGTGGCCACAGACATCCTGTATAATCTTGAGTAAGCTGTTCTGATCTAGATTTTGCCTTGTGCGTGTATGTATAAAATGTGTCTCTTTCCTGGAAGAGGTATGGTGAGAGGACAGCGCTTTTGTGGCCAATACTTCAGGAATAAGTACTTCACAGACATCAACAGCTGTACCTACATCTAGCATTTCGAAACAAATACTTCATCCTTCATGTTTCAGAAATGCTGAATGTTTCCAGGACTAACGTAGATACTTAAATCGCTTACAAGGGTTTTGGTCTGCCCATTGCTGTTAGTAGAATTTGCTGTGTACTCGGCACTTCTAAGCAGTTATGGTTTTGTATGCTGCTAAATGAAAATACCGTTGTTATAAGGTGTTGAGGTAAAATGTTTAGAAAAAGTCTCAAGTGTATTTCAGGGAGGTTTAGGTTCTGGAGGCCTTTCTGAAAATTGAATATAAATGCCGTTTGAAGTATTACCCTAAAGATAAATTGTTACATTTACAAGTCTACAATAATCTTTAAAAAAAGTTAACTGTAAAGTATTTTTTTCCCTTCTGGTCCTTTGTCGTATTTAATACCCTAGATTGTAAATCCTGTGCCTTCAGTTTGTTAACAGCAAGCAGGATTTTGAAACCCTTCTTTTCTGGATTAGGTGTGGGGTTTAGGGAGGTTGCTTTGTTTTTTATCTGTCTGTAAAGTGGAAGAGTAAAGTGAACTAAGGCAGCACCATTGCATTTATTCTTTGCATGGATAGTCCACACAGAGGACTAAAGAACGGAAGAGGAGGAGAAACTGAAGTCCCCTCCCCGCTATGCTGGCATCACATTCAACAGGAGTACTGTGCCAATATGTCTGCAGTATCCCTGATACTAGTCTCGTGCCACTTCAGCAAAGCTTTATACTACCGAATTCCCAGTGCTTGGGTCTGCAGGACAGGGAGGGAAAGAAGTACGTCTTATTGCTTCCAGTGCAGTCTCTGGAATGAGCAGTAGTGATGAGCAAGACCAGCAAGGACTAGTTGCACTCACCTGTGCCCAGCCCAAACCAAGCCCGGCTCTCACACGACGAAGGTTTGAACTGTATCCCTTCCACAATGCCAATAGCTTGAGGAAATGCATTATTTGACCATCTTTTACCACCACTGCTCTCACTCTAGGCAAAGACCTTCTGGTTTTATATTGAGAATTTGCAGCAGAAAGTTCATCTGTGCAGAGGGTTGCTAAGACTGTCTACACCTGCACAAGGCACTGAATGATTTTAATTTTTGTTTGGGCAGATTGCCTCATGCTACTGAACATTAAGAAAACCTGCTAGGGGACTTATTTATTAAAGGACGCTTGTCCAAATTGTAGCCCGTAAGAAAGAGT